CCTACGGCCAAGGGCCATCGCCTAGATAAAGAGTTCGACCTCGATCAAACCACGATGGGTTGACATTTCGACAAGCTCGAAATAATACCCCTACGGCCAAGGGCCATCGCCGGGATAAAGAGATCGACCTCGATCGAACCACGATGAGTTGACATTTTGACAAGCTCGAAATAACACCCCTACGGCCAAGGGCCATTTCCAGGATAAAGAGTTCGACCTCGATCAAACCACGATGGGTTAACAATTCGACAAGCTCGAAGTAACACCCCTACGGCCAAAGGCCATTGCCTAGAAAAGGAGTTCGACATCGATCAAACCACAACGGATTAACATTTCGACAAGCGGCTAAGGTCGTCGCCAAAGAAAAGAGTTCGACATCGCTCGCACCGCGACGGGTTAACATTTTGGCAAGCTCGAAATAACACCCTTACGGCTAAGGCCGTAGCCAAAGAAAAGAGTTCGACATCGCTCGAACCACGACGGGTTAACATTTCGACATTTTCTCGAAATAACACCCCTACAGCTAAGGCTGTTGCCAAAGAAAAGAGTTCGACATCGCTCGAACCACGATGGGTTAACATTTCGACAAGCTCAAAATAACATCCCTACGGCCAAAGGCCATCGCCTAAAATAGAAGAGTTTGACCTTGCTCGAAATACAACGGGTTAACATTTCGACATTAACTTGAAATAAACACCCTTACGACAAAGGCCATTGCCAAATAAACAACGACAAAAAAAATAGTTTAGAGGTACACAACAAAAAAATAACTGTTCCATTACAGCTGATATATTACAAGTCTTTTTTACAAAGGGCTCAAGGACGCCCTCACAAAAATAGCAAAACAAAAATAAATACAACCAAAGCCTACGCCACATCATCCCCAGTGGCATACACCTCATTGTACCAATAATCGGAGGTGAGCTTGTCCCATCGTCGGAATCAACATCATCTCCACTAGGCTTGCCGGGGTCATAACCGCATGCCTCACGAGCCGCACGTGCTTTGACACGCACATGCCGAAATTCTGCCTCAGACATCCTCCCATTGGCATGAAGAGACTTATACACATCAAGATGAGCTTCGGCATGAACCCACATCTCATACGAATCTCGTGGCACGACAGGGTCGGCCGAAGCATGAGATGTAGAGGGTTGCGACTGCCATCGCACATCATCCGCCTTCAAAGCGGTAACTTGTTCGTTTAACACGGACAACTCCGCCTCCAAATCTTGGATACGTCCCTCAAACCTCACTACCTTAAGCGCAGACACCTCCATCTCCTTATCCCGTTCTGATCTACAAACACAAAGGGCATCTTCCAAAGCCGCTACCTCAGAGATGGCAGTCACCCTATCCCTCTCAGCATGAGCCAATCCATCAGCCTTAGAGCTCAGCTCGCCCCTAAGGTCCACAACTTCCGCCATCCTCCTGTCAAGCTCGGCAGTTAAGTTGGCCACCTGCACTTGAAGGTCGGCATTTTTAGCCATCACCCCTTTACTCATCTCGACTTCATCTTCCTTGGCCTTAAGATCCGCCTCAAGTTCGCTGCATCGGGCAATGGCTTTCATCAGGTCTTCGTCCCGCTCTTTCAGCTCCTCGACCCTTTGCGCCAACTGTTTCTCCTTCTGCTTGAGCCCGTCACGGAACAGCTGAAAATCACTGTCCTGAGTAAAGAGATCGGCCAATGCACGATGTTTGGTACGGTACTCTTTATATTTGTTAGCCATTTTCCCAAAAACGGCCGTTCTCCGCCTATCCCTCCGATCGCTCTCAACCTCCATGATGAGGGTCTAATATGCAAAGCAAATTCAAAACAAGGAATGGGGTAAGTACACAAAATGAATCCAAAAACAAAAAGAAAAAGAGAAAAGCACTTACCCGCAGAGCCATACCGGAAATACTCCGCGAAAGCTGTACATCGCTCATCGTCTTAAGCACCGCGCTCTCGGAAGTTGCACACAAAAGGGCGAACACCGACGCCGCCTGCTCGCAGTTCGCCAACAAGTCGTAATCCACAAGAATGACTATGTGTCGATCAGGACCTTCCGTCCTCACTTCTAAACAAGTATGACGCGCCAGGTAAGATCGTACATCTTCTGGATCGACATCCGAACCTGAGCTGTCATCCTCAACATGCTCAACTCTACCTCCTCCGACAGCAGACGATGCACCACCCTCGGCGGATCGTACGGATCCCCCGCCTTGATATATCCATTCGGCCCTGGGGGACCTCCCCGCCAAAATGGCGTCTGCCATAAAACGGCACCTGTGCCCGACTTAGGCAAAGATGCCGCCTCCGACGCACCAGTTCTGCTCTTTCCAGTATCAGTGGCAACGACCTTCCCAAGCTCTGCCCTCCTCCTTTTCCTCGACAGAGATTCATCCCCATCGGAGGGCTCATCCATAAGTTGATAAATGGGTCGAGAGGAAATCTCATCCCGTACAATGACGTCACGAGGAGAGTCTCTAGCCGGTACAGATCGAGCACGGTCTCCTCGGACGGACTCGGCCAAGGAAAATTGCATCCCTGCTGATGCGATGGCCTGGTGAAATGTTGGGACTGGGGCCTTCTTCCTGGAAGCCCTACGACCTATCATCACAAAGATGTCGTATCAATAAACGACAGCAAATAGCCAAAGGTCAAAACAAAGGGAACACTTACCGGACAAAACTCTCAGCCCAAAACGTTTGAGAAAGGCGGGCCAATCTTGAGTCCCCGCCGCATAAGGCAGTACGCGAGCTACCCAGTTCTCTATATCAACGACAGGAAGAGGGGTACATCTCGCAGCTATACAGAAAAGTCATAAATAAGTACAAATTAGAGGGAACGAAAATAAACAAACGATTACCAACACCTACGGTTGTGATTCCACTGTTCTAGAAATCCAGTAGGGTCCGACACCAGGTGCTCGGTTCTAATGAAGAAGTACTTGTGCCAGAATTTGCGGCTTTGCTGGTCGTCCGTTCCGACCACCAACCCCCTGGTTCCACGATGCCGCAGGTGTATTATGGTGCCCTGTGGAAACCCGGGGAAAATAAATGTAAAAGATGATGAAGGCTGACTTCACACCCAACCATCTCCGCATATTTTGTCAGTACTAGAAAATTTTATACGTGTATGGAGATAGGTGCGCCGGGCAGACCTCATAGAACCGACAGAATTCCTCCGCCAACGGAACAAGAGGGAGGGTGTGACCGATCACAAAGGGATATACGTAGAAAGCACAATATCCCGGTCTATGGACCTCCACGAGGTCCCTCCCAGCCGGAACCATCTCAATATGGGAAGAAATATTGTACTTAGACCGGAGGTCGTTTATATGAGCCTGCTCGATTTCAGAAACCACCGGAACAGGGAAAGAGGCAGGTTCTTTGTGAAAATCATTCCGAGATAAAGGGTTCCTTGGGAGTATCTCCTCTACGGTGGGAAAGTTGTCCCCCTCTTCAACCGTCGTATCTTTGCCACCGGAAGGAGGTGCTATGGATAACGGGGCGGCGTCAGAAATTTCCTCGTAGGTCCGATGCGTTCTGGGCATCTTGATAATAAAGGGTATGTTGGTTAAACGTAAAACGAAGAATGGTGATTGAACGGAAAAGATGAGAAGAAAAATCACGAAAACAGAGCTGAAAACCCAACGAGAGATGATCAAAGAGGACAGTGCATACACAAGAAAGGAAATGGCTAAAAGTTCTTGAAAAAACAAAACCTTCACCTATTTATAGGGTTGGGTAGCGCTAGAATCAACGCGGAAGGCTGCCAATGGCAACAAAACCAAAGCGATAAGCAATCAGTCTCTGTCTCGGGAAGACGCGTAATGATGACGCACGTGGGAGTGACGTCATTTCCCGATAAGCTACACCAACCAGGATACCGTGGAACGCACCGCTCTTTCTTTCCTCGTCAAACCAGCATAATTCAACAACTAAATTTCTCCGCAGGTATAGGCGATGTCCGCTTATCAAGGACGTACAGGGCCACGACCTCAACAAACGGAGGGACTAATTGTATGGGTCCAGATTTGGCAACCACGACAGTTATCGAGTAGGACGAGGAACGAGGTTATCCTGACGCAACATCTGATGGTCGTCGTGATGAAGGACGACGATCAAGAGCAGTCAGTCGAGACGAGATGTCAACGGTAATTTAAACTTAGTAGGAGACAGTAAGAACATGCTTTTTGAATATTCTTTATGTTGTACTTATTAGGGTTTCTTGGGAGATTGTCTCTTATAAAAAGGAAGGGTTAGTAAAGAAAAAGGGGATCCGGGCAAGAGAGACAAAAGAACACTTTGTAACAGATTCAACTGAGAGAATATACTAGAAAGGCCTTATTCATTGAATGCAAGAGAGATACTTCACTGTTCTATATTGACAGGGTCCCAAGATTCCTCAATCATCTCATATCTCTTCTCTTTCTACTCTGTTATCGAGGAAAGAAGCTTTCCTTGAGATCTCAATAATTGGGTAGCAACTTCATATGATTACGCCTATCGTATTTACTTAAATTGATTGCATATTTATGTTGCTGTATTTATGAACATTTAATCGACTCAAACATATTAACCAACGTCTTCCATTTTGTCTATTTTATCTATCATTTGATCTAGATTTAGTATCCTTAACTAAGATTTACTCCTCTTCTCATCATTGATTGATATAATCAAAAAAGGTTTAATACTTTTTTGGTCAAACAGTACCATTGGCCTAACCAATTCAGATATGCATGTGTTGGACCCACTAAAGGGAAGCACTCTCAATAGGGATTCCTCCGTTACCAAATACTCAAAACCGAAAACCGAAACCTCTAATTAAGGGTGGAACAATCATCACTCCATTCCGTCACACCCCACTAATGAATTCACATTAACGCCATGTAGGGCCCATTAAAGAGGTAATTACTTCATATGAAGAGCTCCGTACCGAGAGTTTCTTGAGTCTCATATTTTGACTCAGTTATGGTAGTTGAAAACTTGAAGCACAAACCAATTACAATTTCCTCGTCTATGAGGTTTAGCTTTTGGCATATTTTCCGATCCCAACTATTTCTATATAAGAGTTTCCTGACTACATTTAAGGCAAACAACCAGCACATATTACTCCTCCAAAACACAACTAAAACAGAACTGATTGAGCCATATATATCCAGAAAAATGTTGTTATCAGTTGCATTATTGTGTTTATTTGGGTTGGTTTTTCATTTTTACAATTCACTTTTAACAAAGCCAAGAAGACTCCAATCAGCTCTCAGAAATCAGGGGATATTTGGACCTCAGCCAACTTTTCTTCTTGGAAACATATTGGATATCAAAAAGTCACGTAAGGCAGTTGCAAATGGAGATTTAGACTCCCATAACTGTGGAGCAGCTCTTCTGCCTTTCTTTGATCAATGGCAGAAACAATACGGTATGTTAAATTTTTAAGCTGGTGGAAACGAGAGAATATATTTTTGTTTCCTTAATTATATCTTCAACGGCTTCTGATGTAACGTGGTGGCGAGACTTGAAACTAAAACCTTTTTATGCACTAGTGCCATATAAAATTATGACAATTTCATCTGAAAGCAGAAAATACTTTTATTTTGTTAATTATGTCTTCAACATGCCTATCACACGTAAAATTTCCTTTTGATAATGGATGAAGACCCTATCATGAGTGACCATTTTATTTTTTTGTTTAGGTCCAAAATAAGTGTTCATTTACATAATAAAGAAGGAATTAATTTTTTTCTTCTAAAATTTGCCCTTATTTACATATTCTAATGTGTCAAGGTAACAATTAATTAAGGGTGATTTAGTGAATACATCTTTTTTTTCTTTAGGAGTTCGTATTTTCTTAATGGGTGTGCCAAAGACAAAATAATCACTTATTGTAGACCAGAGGAAGTAGAAATTTAAACCGTGAGAGAAAACACACTTATATTTGTTTAATCATGTCTTCAACGTGGTGTTCTTGAAAAATACAACTTTCTTGATTCTCTGCTGTATAAGAATTATTGTTTTGTAATTTTTTTTTTTTTTTGGCTTCTAATTGTATCTTTTATGGATGAGCATTGAGCAGGTGATGTATTCATGTTTTCTCTTGGAAACACACTAATAATGCATGTAACACAACCAGAAATGGTAAGAGAGATTACTACTTGCACATCCCTTGACTTGGGTAAGCCAACCTATCAAGCAAAAGAGAGGGGTTCTTTGTTAGGCAATGGAATCCTAACTTCAAATGGACCTTTTTGGGCACATCAAAGAAAGATTCTTGCTCCTGAGTTATATTTGGAAAAAGTTAAGGTACAAAGTCGTATTTAAATTATGTAGATCCATAGTAGTGGTGGCAAAATGGATAAAAAAACCAGTTATCCGTCCATTTTATCCACTAAAAATGGGTTGGATAATGAACCTTTTAAAAACGGGTCAAATATAGATAAGAACCATATTATCTACTTAGGGGTCGTTTCATATGAGGGATAAGGTAGGATAAGGTGTGAGATTAAATTTATACTGTGTTTGGTTGGCGGTAAATTTATCCTAGAATAAATTTATACCTCCAACCAAACAAGGTATAAATTTAATCCCAGACTTAATTCAGGATATCTCATCTTATCCTACCTTATCCCATCAAATGTGAGATTATTTTATCCCATCTCTCATGTGGTATAATAAGTCCTGGGAATAAAATCCCGGGATAATTTAGTCCACGTACCAAACCACCCCTTAGAAAATGGATAACCAATGGATAACTAATGCGTTTAACTTTTACATTTGTAAAGACTCAAATTGGGGGTTCCTCAAGCTTTAGATACTAGTAATTCTCTCAAAAGTGATCGTATTAAAAAAGCCATGGATAATATGTTTTCCTATATTATCCGCGGGTTAACTCATTTTGTATCCACATTAACTATGGGTCGGGTCGGATAATTTATCCGTTTTTTCATTTCCCGTTTTGACCCACCTATAAATCGACCCGACCCGCCCGTTTGACACCCATAATCCATAGTGTAACGGTAATTTTAACACGTTGTAGCAGGCGGTTCAACTCTGTATTTGTTGAAGAAGTTATTGATATTTATGCCTTTTTGAGGTGTGCAGGGAATGATAGATTTAATACAAGATTCTGCATTAACATTGTTGAAGACATGGAATAATCAAGTAGAAGCTCAAGGTGGGAGTGCTGATATCAAAATTGATCCGGACATGAGAAGTTTTTCTGGAGATGTAATTTCTAAAGCATGTTTTGGAAGCAATTTTTCAAAAGGAGAAGAAATTTTTTTTAAGCTTAGAGCTCTCCAGGAAGCTGCTTCCAAAAGGGTCCTGACTACTGGAATTCCAGGCATAAGGTACCATTTTCATCTATATTGATACGTATAACTATGCGCTAAGCTCAAGCAAGTTGAGGTTAGCTATAAGAATCCTTACTAATCAAGTCCAATTTTTCTTCAGTAATGATATGCTAAACAATTGACTGGTGAGTGGCGGGGGAGGGGGGGGGGGGAAGCTAGGGTGGCGGGAGGGGGTTCAAACCCCCTTTGCCGAAAAATTTACTATATATACATACAAGGTTAAACAGTATTTTTTACACATATATAGTAGAGGTTGAATCCTCTTGGCTTATTTGATTGTTTACTTCTTTATATTCTGAATCCCCCTGGTGAAAATTCTGGCTCTACCATAGCTGGTGATCGAGCAGTTTTTAAACATTAAAGGTGGCAAATTGACGGGCTAGGTCAGATCAAAATTGTTCAAATTTATAATTGTCATAACACAACCGCCCAACACGAACTCAAAATGTGTTTTGCCTAAATTATGAGTTTAAATTCTCTTAAATTTACATACTTTTCAATATTCTCAAAATTTATTTTGTATGTTTGGATTTGAGTTTCAATATAACTCACGTGTTACACTATTTGATCAATTTCGACCAAATAGTTTGATGGCTCATTTCTGGTCAACCCGTTGGGTCACACCAACAAACCGGTCATAATCTATCCCGTTTAAACTTGGACGAATTCAACGGGTAACTAAAAAATAGATTAATTTTGCCACCACTTGCTTGGATTGAGCTGTACGAAGTCGCTCCCGAATCACTTTAACCTTCTCTAAAGCATCACAGACAAAATCAATGCCTAATAATCTAGCCTCACATGGATCAAATCCGCCCCGCCATGACCTTTCCTCGTTTTTTGTCATTTTATGGCCATAAAACTGGCATTCCACTCGATTCCCATATTTTCGTGTGCTATAGCTTTTATGGGCATAAAACTGAAATTCCACCTGATTCCCATATTTTCGTGTGCCCCGGGCCCCCGGACCTGGATCGCCTAAAAATTTTCCGGGACTATACAACATTCACTCAAGCTCCTTCTTGGATGGAACAGGTATCTTCCTACCAAGAACAACAGGGAGACATGGACCTTAGAGAAAGAAATCAAAGAATTAATCTTGAAAATAGTGAAGGAAAGAAGGGAAGCTGGATCTGAAAAAGATTTACTACAAATGGTTATTGAAGGAGCCAGAAATAGTGAACAAATTAGCAATGATACATTTATTGATCATTTCATAGTTGATAATTGCAAAAACATATACTTGGCTGGTTATGAAACCACTGCTGTTGCAGCTACATGGTGTCTCATGCTTTTAGCTACAAATCCAAATTGGCAACAACGTATTCGTGCTGAGGTCCTTCAAATTTGTATGGGTCGAATTCCTGATGCTGATATGATTCGAAAGATGAAACAGGTATTTACACACGGATTCAGGATTTGAAGTTTATGAATTTCTTTATCTCAAATTATATATATGAGTTTACAGTAAAATACTTTATATATATCTGAATCCATAAGTTTCGTAGTAGATCCGCCCCTAGGTACTTATAAGGATTAGTTTCATAAATGATCATTGAATTAGAAGTTTTTTTTGCAAAAAAAGTTCAAAACTATATTTCATAATTTAAAAAATACATCAATTGTAACTATATTACGCATAAAATAAAATAGCTAAAAATTTATCAATCCGGTAACAAAACTTATTATATAAATGGCATTTTCGGCTCCAGGTTGATGAATTTTTGGCGATTTCATATTATGCAAAATATAGGAACAATAGTTATTTTTTTTTTTTTTTTTTTTTTTTTTTTTTTTTGTGGTTAACATATTTAGAGCCCGTTTGGCAATGAAAATGTTCATTTATCGAAAACTTTTCATTTTTTTTTTGAAATTTGTGTTAGGCCATAAAATTTCTAATTTTTTCACTTGAAGATGAATTTTGAAATTTTTTGAAAATTTGAAAAACTCCAATACGCTGTTTTTCAAAATTTTCACTTAGATCACTCACAAAAATTCAAAAACAACCCAAAATTATATTCATGTTCAAACACAACTCTAATTTTCAAATACCATTTTTACTGAAATATGTTTTTCCACTTTTTTCGGAATTTTGACAATTCTTATGTCCAAACGCCCACTTAGTTTTATGACATTGCGGCAATAGAATTTTAGTTCATGACTATAGATGTACCCGTAAAATTGGGGAAACTACACAAATAACCATTCTTAAGACTGCTATTTAGAGATTAGCCAATATTTATTTTATCATAAAACTTTAAACTAAAAAAATTAATTTCAGGACTTTAAACAGAAAAACTAAACTTCAGAATACATTGGCTAATTCCTACCTGGTGTCATTTCTACTGTAAAATAAACCCATCACTATTACTCCGAAACCTTGAATTCTTAACTTTCTAATTAATGTTAAAATTAAATAAATCGCAATATTATATTGATTAACACATGTTAGTATATATCTACCTTGATTTTGCAGTTAACAATGGCTATTAACGAATCATTGCGTCTTTATCCACCAGTAGCAGTGGTATCAAGGGAAGCCTTAAATGAAATTAAATTTGGAGGTATTAATATTCCTAAGGGAGTGAATCTTTGGACAATAGTGACTAAATTACACACTGATCCAAAAATATGGGGAAAAGATTCTTACAAATTTAATCCAGAAAGATTTGCAAATGGAATTAAAGGTGCATGTAAATTTCCACACGTGTATATGCCTTTTGGTGTTGGACCAAGGGTGTGTTTGGGACAAAATTTGGCTATGATGGAACTTAAAATACTCATTTCATTAATTTTGACTAAATTTTCTTTCTCTATTTCCCCAAAGTATATTCATTCTCCAGCTCTGAATTTGGTTATTGAGCCTGGAAATAGTGTGTATCTATCAGTGAAGAAGTTGTGATCAAATGGAGCTCGGATGGGATTGAGGATTAGCTCACTCGGTGAGTTTTCTGTCTTTCACAGTTAAGGTGGAGGGTTCAAACCTCATAGTAGCGTAACATTCTCTTCCGCTTTCTCCATCCTCTCCCTCGATGTAATAACTTTGTTTTAAGAAAAAGTGGAGCTCGAATACTAATTTTCCATTAGTTTTTTTTTTTTATTGTGTGTATTTGTGTGCAACAATGTAGCTATGTATAAGTTTCGGTGCAAAATTAAAAAAAAAAAAAAGAATATTGAGTTTTATTCTTATGTCATTCTACATATTTTTATATGTTTTCAGTAAATAAATGTAAGTCGCATCAATTTTATCACAGTATATACTAAAGAACCACGGTCATGGCTGTCTTTTGTAATGCTAGTAAATACATGTACCGAGTTAAAGGTAAAATTGTACTCCCTCCGGTCCAAAATAAGTGATTTTTTGGATGTTTTCACACAAATTAAGAAATCCAGCTTTTAGCATTAATTAGCAATGGAATTGACCATATTAACCTTTACTATCTCACATAAACACTCCTAACACATATTCCAACACTATTTACTCCAAGGACAATGAAAGAAAAAAATAATTAATTCATTTTTGAAATCTGGAAAAATCACTTATTTTGGACCACAAGAAAAAGGCCAAAAAATCACTTATTTTGAATCGGAGGAAGTATAACTTGCTTTTCTCTTTTAATATATTTAATAACAATGGTATCCGAGTCAAGTTTTCTCTCACTTAATAGTCTAAGTATACGAATCAATTTTATCACTTTATACCAAGATCAATTTTAAATGCCAGACGGTTGTTGATTCCTAGAACATGAGAATTAAATTTAATTTGTATAATAGAGCATATTTGATAAAACACACATACATATATTGTTGTTATTAGATTAACCATCAAATGTGTAAACAATGAATTCTCAATATTTTGGCAACATTTATCTATCCATGAAATCCACCCAAAACAAAGGGATCTCAACCCAACTTATCTAGAAATTTACTTAGTTGTTCCAATTTTACTTTTTTTTTTTGTATTTTCAATTTTCTATTTTTTTTGTTTTTCTGCACCACCCCCACCCCTACCCCCTCCCCCACCTCCCCGTGCAAACCCCCTCAAAAATTTTTTTTTTCTTTTTTTTGTTTGTATTTTCAGTTTTCTATTTTTTTTTTCTGCACCCACCCACCCTACAGGGGATCCATGAGCCAAGTTGGGCGGGTTGGGCTATGACCCATTGGTTAGCCCATCTTGACCCAGCTCATCTTAGCCCAAGTACACTTTGGGTAGGGTTGGGCAATAACCCATTTATTAACCTAACTCATCTTAACCCGCCCAAATTCAGCCCAACCCGCCCATTTGCCATCCCTATACATTACTAGGAAAGAGAGGGAGTTCAGAGTTTTGCGGAAAAGATGGATTACATATGGTTATCGTGCGATTTTGAAGCACCCTGTGGCGCTCAGTTAGTTAGACTCTTTGAATGATTCAGTAACAGTCTAAAAACAAGAGTTGAATTGCTAACATATTACACTGTTGTATGGTAGATAACAACAAAGGAAGGAGAAAACCTAACTGCAATCTTCACTTTTCAACACAACAAAAGCAATCGACACATCTAAAACTGCTATAGTAGAACGAACGAAAACACATAGTATCAAAAAAGGGGCAAATCAATCAAGATTCACGGACCCAATTGTTGTCACTTCGACCTCCTACACAGTAAGAATGATCATTTTTACTTTTTTCTATGGGACTATGGGTACTTGGAGTTTTGAGTATTCTATGACATATAGTTTCTGGGTTCAACTGAACATCATTGCTTTTAATTAGTTCAACGTATATGCCATATGCAAAAAAATATGTACATATAATTAGATCACACTTATTCTAGACTTACTATCTTTAAATCTTGAATTCGCCTTACTTGGATAACCGCATGCTTCTTTGCATGCATGTCCATTGAACCTTTTTTTTTTTTTTTCGTTGTTTCGTGGAGGAAATGGTTTCAGAATCTTCTGTGGAGAAAAAGCAAAAGGCCAACCTTGGTCGCAATGATTCTTCTTCGTCATCATCAACAGATGAAAATGACTTTAGACGCCCTGATGTACACAAGAAGTTTCACCTCTTTGGCCGTCATAAATCTCTTCACGCTGCTCTAGGTGGTGGCAAACGTATGTTTCCTCAACTTCTAATTTTTGTTAGTCATGTGCATTATTGAGTTTTTAATTTTAATGGCCTTTTAAAGTTTGATGGTAGGTCTATTTTTTCCCTTATTATATTATCTCGAGCATATATGATCCTTTAAGTTTCGCCAGTTGAACTAAAAGTGCTCAACTTTTGCAAACTTAAAGGATCGTACATGTTATTACAAGTACTATAGTAAGGACGAAATAGCACTTTCCCCCAAACTTAAGGGACCATTTGGGTTAAAAACTCTACTTTTTTGGTCATTCTTGAGTGGCCTTAGGTAACTGATTAACTGTTATTGATGCTGAAAATGAATGGATCAGTGGCTGATATTTTACTGTGGAGGAACAAGCAGATATCAGGAGGATTATTTGCTGGTGCAACTATCATATGGTTTCTGTTCGAGTGGATTGGTTATCATTTGCTCACTTTTATTTGCCATTCACTCATAGTTTCCTTGGCCATCTTGTTCTTTTGGTCCAATCTCTCCCTCTTTGTCAACAAGTTAGTTCACTTCCCTTTGCCTAATTACAATTATCACTTTGTTTTATGCTGCTACTTGTTGGGTTTTTAAGGTATTTAATTAATATATTAAATACTTAAAAGAGAGTGAATGGGAAATGGAGGGAAATGAAATTTTTGAGTGAAATTTTAAGTTCCCCCTCCCTTGGCAAATGGGCATTGTCCCATATTGGAAGAGGAAGAGGTTTTTTATGGGTATATAAGCAATTGCTCTTCTTCTAGCTCTTAAAGAGTTGAGAAGAAGGCAAGCCTCGCGCCGCCGTCGTCGTCGCTCGCTCGGCTTCGGCTTCGGCTTCGGCTTCGGTCAAATGATTGATTGATTAACTTTTTGGACCAAATTTATTTGTTAATAGTAAAATATTAACAGAAATACTATTAAATATTAATATTAAATCCAATCCGTTTTTCTGTTTTGGTAACAGAAAAGTAACTACCCTCTTCAATTTTCCCTCTTTATTTTCCCTCTTTATTATTGAGTAAATGGCCATTTATGTAATGGCATTTATGTTGTGGGCGTTTTGCATAAACAGCCATTCTGAAGAGACCCAACTTTGGCTATAAATACAACACTATTCTGCTCAGAATTTTAACTACAATTTTCTGAGTTTCCTCTCCTTCTTCTGCATACGTTTAGCATCAAAACAAAGCAAAAAGTAAGTGTGATTTGCTACCGAACTTTGTGTTCGCTGAAACACTGGGGTTTGAAGTACCACTACACCAGTGTGTAATTCGTTCTATCCTGGGAGGAAATAATCCATAACCTTGGGTACTAGGAGGGGATTAAATTCCTTAAGGAAACACTGTGAATTCAGTGGGCTCGAATTGGTTTATGTCATTTCTGTTTATATTCATTACTGTTTATATTCATTTATATTTCCAGAATTTATTTTACAAATACAGTGTAATAACAAGCTTAAGGAATTTAATAATTTATTTCTGTATTTGTACTTACTGNTGCGGTCATTGAGGGATACTGTGATGCAAATTGGATCACCGGATCAACTGATTCCAAGTCCACAAGTGGATATGTATTCACTATTGGTGGAGGAGCGGTATCTTGGAAGTCACCCACACAAACTTGTATTGCCCGCTCTACAATGGAGGCTGAGTTCATAGCCTTGGATAAAGCCGGTGAAGAAGCTGAATGGCTCCGGAATTTCTTGGAAGATATTCCATTTTGGCCCAAACCGTTGGCACCAATATGCATACATTGTGATAGTCAAGCGGCAATTGGAAGGGCTGGGAGCGTTATGTATAACGGTAAGTCTCGCCATATACGACGAAGACATAAAACCGTTAGACAATTACTCTCTAGAGGAATTATCACGATTGACTATGTAAAGTCAAGTGATAATATATCGGATCCACTTACAAAAGGCCTAACTAGAGAGGTAGTTGAGAAGTCATCAAGGGGAATGGGACTGTGGCCGAGAACAAGTCATAGTGGTGGTAACTCCACCTAGAAGACTGGAGATCCCAAGATCTAGGTTCAAGGAGATCAAACAAAGACATTTATGACGGTTCAACATTGTCAACTAAACTTTTGGTCCATTATCGTGATGAGACAATGTTCAGTACCAAGGATAAAGCATTAAGGCTTTTTAATGATTTCTAAATTTGATACGGGGTATATCAAATAGTGTATCTACGGGATGACACGTTTAGGAATCACCTATGTAAGTGTGAAGTGTTAGCCGCTTCAAGGAGAACATTGTAAGGCCAGTTCTCTACGCACTTATGAAACCAGGCGGTGTTCATGGCTGAAACGAACACAACAATGAGAACCAAAGACGGTTAAGGGTTGGTTGTGTGACTTGTGGTTGTCTAGGTATACACTAAAGTTCGACGGTTCAAAGATATCAAATCTACCGATTGATCGAGTATATCCGACATAAGTTCACTACGGAAAGTTCAAAGGGAAACCTACTTATCCAGATGCAATTAATCCTTACTTGTGAATCACACAGTTTTTCATGCATACTTCCGTGATATAGCCATTCCCCATTCATGTGGGGGATTGTTGGGTTTTTAAGGTATTTAATTAATATATTAAATACTTAAAAGAGGGTGAATGAGAAATGGAGGGAAATGAAATTTTTGAGTGAAATTTTAAGTTCCCCCTCCCTTGGCAAATGGGCATTGTCCCATATTGGAAGAGGAAGAGGTTTTTTATGGGTATATAAGCAATTGCTCTTCTTCTAGCTCTTAAAGAGTTGAGAAGAAGGCAAGCCTCGCGCCGTCGTCGTCGTCGCTCGCTCGGCTCGGCTTCGGCTTCGGCTTCGGCTTCGGATTTGGATTTGGATTTGGATTTGGATTTGGATTTGGATTTGGTCAAATGATTGATTGATTAACTTTTTGGATCGATTGATTGATTAACTTTTTGGACCAAATTTATTTGTTAATAGTAAAATATTAACAGAAATGTTATTAAATATTTGTTTTAATAACAAAATATTAATATTAAATATTAATATTAAATCCAATCCGTTTTTCTGTTTTGGTAACAGAAAAGTAACTACCCTCTTCAATTTTCCCTCTTTATTTTCCCTCTTTATTATTGAGTAAATGGCCATTTATGTAATGGCATTTATGTTGTGGGCGTTTTGCATAAACAGCCATTCTGAAGAGACCCAACTTTGGCTATAAATACAACACTATTCTGCTCAGAATTTTAACTACAATTTTCTGAGTTTCCTCTCCTTCTTCTGCATACTTTTAGCATCAAAACAAAGCAAAAAGTAAGTGTGATTTGCTACCGAACTTTGTGTTCGCTGAAACACTGGGGTTTGAAGTACCACTACACCAGTGTGTAATTCGTTCTATCCTGGGAGGAAATAATCCATAACCTTGGGTACTAGGAGGGGATTAAATTCCTTAAGGAAACACTGTGAATTCAGTGGGCTCGAATTGGTTTATGTCATTTCTGTTTATATTCATTTATATTTCCAGAATTTATTTTACAAATACAGTGTAATAACACTACTTTCAGTTTTTCAATTGCCTCCCAATTAACGAGTTTAAGTTAAATGCATCGTTAAAGAAAGAAATTTTTACACTGTCATGTCACCGTTACTCGTTATAGCAGGTAACGCCGCTACCAATGGTAGGTGCCGGGGCAAGGCTAGATCCCAGCCTAGAGCACGTGCAGTGGCACCTACAGCTGCTCACGCTTGTTCTAGAGCAACTTTAGTCGAGGCCTATATTTTAAGGAGGTTTACCTATAGATATTCTTTGAGTGACCTGATAGTGTAAAAAATTATTTACATTGACGATGTGTATAACTTAAGAGTCTTATGCTTAAATGTTACGACAAAACTAAATTTCATGGCAGGAGTTTAATAGAGTTTCCAAAGATTGAATTACCAGAGGAACCGTGGACGCAAGTGGCTCTTCTACTGAGGGATCAATTCACCTGTGCATTTGGTATCTTTCGAGAAGTAGCATCTGGAAATGATTTGAAGAAGTTTCTTTATGTACCAATTTCCCACACCCTGAACTTTTTTAATTTTACCTTACTCTTGAAGTTTCATTGCTATTGTGACAAGTTCATATGATCATGTGTCCATCTGCAGGCAATTTTTGGCTTGTGGATTGTTTCCATTGTTGGCAGGTGGTTCAATCTTCTGACCCTTGTATACATCAGTAAGTTCTCTATATACTTCCATTTTTGTTTCTGTTGGCTGCAGAAGCCTAACTTATGAAATTTCCTTACTGGTCTGTGGAAATGCAGTGGTTTGATCATTGTATTACCTGTTTTTTTTTTTATATTTCAATATGGGCATGTCCATGTGGAGTTTTTACTTACACTGACAGTGTAAAATTTTTTACACTATTAGGTCACCATAAAAAATAAGTACATGTAGCCGTCCCATACTAAGTGAGATTAATAAACTGGAAAATAAGGCATGTAATTGCTATAACAGGTTAAAATATAATGTCAATGTATATAGGTTAATAGCCTGTTTGGCGAAGGTTCTCCAAGGCCAAAAATATTTTTTCTTTAAAAGTGTTTTTTTTTTCAAAGTTGAAGTATATGGCCAAGATTTTAGAAGGAAAAAATGTGCTTTTGAGTAGAAGTAGAAGCAGAAAAAAATAGTTTCTCCTAAAAGCACTTTTCTGAAAAGTAATTTTGAGAAAAATACACTTATAAGCACTTTTTCAAAGCTTGGCCAAACACTAGTTGCTGTTCAGAAGTGCTTTTCAAATTAATTAGCCAAATACAAACTGCTTCTCACCGAAAGTAATTTTGAGAAAAACACTTCTCAAAATAAGCTTATTTTAGAAGCTTGGCCAAACAGACTATAAATCCAGTTGCTGAAAGCATTTTTATAGCTATGTGTTCCAATCTATAATCAGCCTTAAAAGTTCCTCTCTAAGAGCAGTAATCTTTCACATTTTTAGTATTTCTAGTTTAGTGATAGATAACAGATCTAACAGTCATATTACTGTAGGCAGTTAAAAGATCCCAAGTTTTTTACATCGTTCGTCGATAAGATTCACCAAGATAACCAATTGTTCTTTTTTGGACAGTATTTGTCATGCTGTTGACTGTACCATATTTCTATGAGAAGTATGATGATCAAGTAGATGCCTATGGAGAAATGGCCATAAAAGAGCTCAGAAGACAATACAGTCAATTGGATGAGAAAGTTCTTCAGAAACTACCAATTCCTTTCATTAAAGACATTAAACAGGACTGATGAAACTCTTCTCTCAGGCAGATATTGCTTCACTTCAAGAATACAATGCAGCCTTCAACTTATTTATGGATTGGGAAGAGGTGATGAGGCAGGACATAGCGTGATTTCAGCTTTGTGAGGACATTGCCCTTGATAGGAAGGTGTGAAATATCAGGATTGAAAGTTAGGAGTTAGTTGAGCATTTTTCTATTTCGTACTGGGTGTGAGGCTAGTCTGATAGTGTTTTGTGTTCATACTATTTTTTCGTTTTCATAGTACCGTGCCATTGTTACGGGTTATTGTTATTGCTGTTTCCATCTATTTTCTGGTTCTTACGATGCTGGTATAATCTTTCTAGTCCTTGTTGACTTGTTATTACTGATCTATTGTCGCTTTTCGTCTTCTTGAACTGATGATCTATCAGATACAACCTCTCTACTCCTACGAGGTAGGGGTAAGGTGTGCGTACACACTACCCTCCCTAGACCCACTTGTGGGATTTTACTGGGTTGTTATTGTTGCAGTAAGCAGTCCTAAATGTTATAACACCGAGTTTCATCTTGCAATCTAATTTATCCACCTGTTCTATCCCTTTCTTTCGCGCGTTTGTTGGTTGAGTTTCACTTCTATACACTGATAGAGTAAAAAAAAAATTGTTACACCAACATGTTCAATTGCTGGCAATTTCCATGAGAACAACAATATTTGATATAATATGCAGTAGTCAACAACTCAATGCGTGAAACAGATCAAAGGTGATCAACCAAATAAACACAAGCAGAACTGCAAGTTAAAATGGAATGGCATACAGGAAATTGGGCTTGAATAATTGGTGGAACTAAGAAAAATCTCTTAATTCACATCAGAGTTCAGAACCAACAGAAAAGAACCTTCAAAAAGAATATTCAGTCACTAGACAAGCTCGATGTACGCCATTGGTGCATTGTCCCCTCGCCTCGGTAGAGTTCTTATTATCCTAGTGTATCCTCCGTTCCTCTCCCCATATCTTTCCGGGACTTCAGCAAACAATGCATGCACTATCTGCTTCTCGTAGATGAATCCAAGGGCTTGCCTTCTCTTATGAAGAGAACCATCCTTTGCCATTGTAATCATTTTGTCAACATATTTTCTAACTGCCCTGGCCCTCGCTTTAGTGGTCTTTATACGCCCGTGCTTGAGGAGTTGAGTCGTGAGGCCTCTCAAAAGTGCCCGACGCTGGTCAGGAGGTCTATTCAGTTTGGGCACCTTCCTACCATGTCTCATGGCAAAAACTCGGCCACCATTATCAATCACGGTGAATGAGTGCTCAAAACTTGTTGAATCTGCAATATAGATAAATTAAAGGTGTAAGAATGGCAGAGCAATACAACTCAACATGCAAAAGCTGCAAATAGTAAAATAATTTTTTTTTTTTTGTAAGGGTAAGTAAATTGCATTAGAAAAGGCATCAAGAAGATGCAGATTTACAAGAGGAATCAATAGCTAGCTCCAAGTAAAATAAACTTATTTTAACAAAGGCAAGAATAGAATTAAGAAAATAAGTAATCTTCAAAGTTCAGAAAAACCAGATTTTTCACTATGTATTCACACTCTCTTAAGTTTACAAATGACTGCTGAGGCATTTTCAAATCTCAGACATCAACATCTTCAGCATGATGACTCAACATCATCATTTAATCAGTTTGCTTAAGTCTCCCTCTTTTTTTGTTAACATTACAATTATCAGAAGATCCATAAATCAGACTCTACGTAAGTTAGATCAAAGATCCTAAAAGAGCAGTATTGACTTAAGCAACATTACAACGAGAGGCACAGATATGTGCACTCTGTACCGAGAAAGATGTTCACCGACTTCTTGACAACATCAGGCATGGTATAGACCAACTGAAAAGCACCTATACATTTGTACTATGTTATGTTACCTAGTTCACAAATTTTATAGCTTCCACATTTGAATTATTTTATTCTTGACACTCCAAGAGAAAAATAGTGACTTATCCAGTTAAGTACCTAAAGCATTCCCTTTCGTAGGAGTATCTTGATTACCATATCGCAATAGCAGCCGCTATCAATGACATCTTCGCACCAGCCCCACCTCAACATCCCCCAACTATGAAAAAGAATAAGAGATAAGAAAGCCTCCTTTATGCAAATTGGTACCGTTCCATAGATCGAATGCATCAAGGGAGTGCCTTCGAACCAATGGCGGAGGCAAGCATTTTAATCAAGTAATTCAAAAGAAAAATGATCTCTTGCGTCTAGTGGAATCAATAAAGGGCAACCTGGTGCACTAAGCTCCCGCTATGCGCGGGGTCCAAGATTTTTCACCTATATGCACAGTATAATTTTTCAGCAAAGGGTAAACAGTTAAACATGGCTTTGCCGTTACTTCCAACTCCACAAAATAAGATAAATTGGATTCCCTTAAACGAAAAAGAGTCAAACTTTTGTGCCTTCACATGCAAGGGGAAACAAACTGATACACTATGCAGCAATTTCAATTGGATGCCAATACCCACTCAGAAACACTAACATAAGACCCAAAACAATTGTACACATAACCAGGCAATGGCGGAGCCAGAATTCTAATACGATTCAAATAATGCAAGAATGCAGCATCTTAGATTAGAACTTGCAACATAAAGCAAATTTCCAGCCACATTTGTCCGTACACTAGAAGCTTCCTTATGTTAAATGAATTCAACAATTTAAATCTACAACAATAACTAAGTCTCAGTCACAAACACATTGGGGTCGGCTCAACAATTTATGAATTATACATATACAAAAAAGTTTCAATACATGTAGCTCCACCCTAGCAGCATGAGTAATCCAATGCCTTCGACTTGAACTCTATATATACACAGTTGATTTTTTTTTTTCTTAAAAGAAAAAGAATTATTCAAAATAATGGATACATCTCTTTGCACAATTGTATAAAAAAAAATTACCCTGGGAAGAAAGGGACAAGAGTGGATGGAGGGGAGCAAGACCGACGAAGGAGTGAAGAAGTCTGGAACTGGAACTGGACTTGGGCTTGCAAATCCTGACACCAGAAGGGGATGGCCCACAAGAGAATCGAAGTGAAGAGCTCGAAATTGGTTGAATTGAAGGAAGTGCAGATTTCAGACAAGACATGCTCCAAGTCGTAGAAGCTGAAGCCATATCCGAGGTTTGCTCACTGGTTATGTTTTCAGATGAGTTTATCTGAATGGATAAGTGAATTTTGGTACCCGAATTTTGCTGACTAAGGGTGTCAAACGGGCCGGATTGACTCGGTTCCGGATCGGCCCAAATCGGTTTTAGACCGGACCGGTAGGTAAGGGGGGCGGGCAGGGTTGGGTTGGGACGGGGAACGAATTGTGCCGGGTAGGATACAGGTACCGGTTAACCTGACCGGTCAGAACCGGTACTGTCAAGTCAAGTTCTAACCGGTACCGGATCGGACCGGTTCAACGGCTATTTCAAATATTTTTTTTTAATATAGTTGATCGTTGACATGCCAACGGTCAGCTGCCATTTTGACCGTTGCCCAACGGTTATTTTGCAAGAATAGCCTTTTTTTGGCATTTGTTTTCAAAAATAACACTTTTAGTATTTACTAATTTAGCCCTTTGAAAAAACTATAAATATACCTCCGGTCTTCTTCATTTCTTTACTCATCTCTCAATTCTCAAAACCTAATTCTCAATTGTCATTCTCTCATTCTTCACCTAAATTGCAATCAACTATTTGGCTCTCGTTTTTTTTTTGAAATTTTATTTATGGTATTATTTGAAGTTTGAACTTTGAACAATTGACGTTTCTTCGTGGTAAAAAACGAAGTAGTGAAATTCAATTTCAAGACTTCAAAATCATCAAGTGTTTTATTGCGGAATTCGGTGCACTCATTCCAACTCTTTCTCTTATTTAATATTTTATTTGCATATTTAATTTTTAGTAGTTAAACTTTCACAATATGTTTAATGCTGTAAAAAGAGTTTGTAATAAGGTTGCTAATCGGGGTAATCGGGGAAATAGAAAAAGAAGTACTACTTCAACTTCTAGTAGTAATTTAAATGACTTTACACATGTTTTTGAACATCACCTGAGAATAATATAGATTATTAACAATTACATGAAGATTTCGGTATAGAAGATAATGAATTAGAAATTGAATATGAGACACCACTTACACCTAGTAGTTTTGGAGTTGGTAGCAGGTAGGGGTGGCAAAATGGTTCAAAGAAAACAGTTAACCACCCATATTATCCACTAAAAATGGGTTGGATAATGAACTATTTAAAAACGGGTCAAATATGGATAAGAACCATATTATCCATTTAGAAAATGGATAACCAATGAGTAACAAATGGATAACCAATGGGTCTAACTTTTACATTTGTAAAGCCTCAATTGGGGGTTCCTCAAGTTAGGGAGACTAAGAATTCTCCCAAAAGTGATCATATACAAGAAGTCATGAATAATATGGGTAACCTATATTATCCGCTGGTTAACCCATTTTTTATCCGTATTAAATATGGGTCGGGTCGGATAATTGATCCGTTTTTGCATTACCCGTTTTCGACCAGAACCATATCCGACCCGCCCCGCCCGTTTGCCACTCCTAATAGCAGGGGTGGTGGTCGTGGCACTAGTAGTAGACCACCTGTGGCCCTGACTAGTAATCGGAGAAGGAGAAGTAAAGTTTGAAAATATTTTGAGGAAATAGAGAATTCTGATAGAGTTAGATGCAAAATTTGTAAAGATGATTTTAAACATAAGACTGGAGGAAGTTTTGGGGGGACTAGGACACTTAGTAGACATATGAGAAATTACTCATCCTATTGAATGAGGCTCTGATTTAGATGAAAATCAAGGAACTCTAAACCCTAGTACTGGGGACTTATGAAATATGATAAAATGAAGGACCGTGAGGAGTTAGCAAAAATGATTGCTTCTTCATCATATCTTATTATGTATATTCAAAGGATTTATAATCTTTTATTTAAAGGTATCCCTAGAAATACTTGTAGATCCGATATCTTTAGACTTCATGGACAATATCAAACATACATACGTTATTTGTTTGACCAACTTCCTTGTAGAGTTTCTCTAACTTCTGATATTGGCCATGCTGTTAGTGGAAATGATTATTTGACAATTACATGTCATTGGATAGAAGATCAAAGTCATATTGGTATTTTTATAAGTACTACTATTTGCTAAGTTGTTGTATTTTACAATCTTAATAAAAAAGTATTGTGTATGTCTTTTGATAATGCTTCTAACAATAATGCCGCTATTTCAATATTAAGGCTGTATTTGCAACCACCACCTGACAAAAAATTTCATGTTAGATGTGCATGTAATGTTTATAATTTAATGTTTAAAAG